CAGCCAGGGTGTCCAGTGCGCCCCCTCGACCAGCAATTCAAAAGTACAAAAAAATGGCCGCTGCCCCAGTCTATATAGTCTGGCTTTTACAGCAAGGAACACATGGACGGGCAACGCATGTCAAAAAAAGAAAGTTCCCCTGCCTGCAGCTGCAAGGTAGGGCCCTCGGGGGTTGATTTACTAAAACTAGAGCTGCGGCCGCCAACCCTTTCGGACCTCACGGAGACCACTAAATTCATAATTTTAAATCCTGCGAACCACTAATATGAATTTTTTAAAAAGATAAATACAATTGTAAAAAATGATCAGAGAACGTCCATTTTATGAATATGAAATGCACCTAACATTTTATAAATGCTTATTTAATCATAAAATCTTTAAATTGTAACAAAATTATTAAAGTTAGTTTAATTATTACAAAAAAAATTGAAGCTTAAGTATTACACATTTTTAGTGTGACATTTGTTCCTGCTTGTTTGAAATACAGGCGTTCCTCGGTCTACGAATTTAATGCGCTCTGCGGGACTTTTCATATTGCGAAAAATTTGTAAACCGAAATGAGGTTTCCCATAGGAATGCATTAAAAACCGGAGGTGAGAAAAAAAGTAAAAAAAAAAAAAAAGTCTGTTCAAAACGCTATATAAAAGTGCACTTTAAAGGCTTAAATACTGTACAGGGACATGATTAAAAATTAATTTTGTAAATCAATTAATCAATTCCGGAGGTCAGAAAAAAAAAGTAAAAATAAGTCTTATCTTTTCAAAACTCTTCATAAAGTGCGCATTAAAAACCGGAGGTCCGAAAAAAGTAAAAAAAAAAAAAAAAGTCTGTTCAAAACGCTATATAAAAGTGCACTTTAAAGGCATAAATACTGTACAGGGACATGATTAAAAATGAATTCATAAATGCATTGAAAACCAATTAATCCGCTCGTATTGGGAAAAAAATTTGGAAATGCATTGAAAACCAATTAATCTGTTCCGGAGGTCAGAAAACAGTCAAAACTTTTATCTGTTCAAAATGCTTTATAAAAGTGCACTTTAAAGGCTTAAATACTGTACAGGGACATGATTAAAAATTAATTTGTAAATCAATTAATCAATTCCGGAGGTCAGAAAAAAAAGTAAAAATAAGTCTTATCTTTTCAAAACTCTTCATAAAGTGCGCATTAAAAACCGGAGGTCCGAAAAAAGTAAAAAAAAAAAAAAAAGTCTTCAAAACGCTATATAAAAGTGCACTTTAAAGGCATACATACTGTACAGGGACATGATTAAAAATGAATTCATTGAAAACCAATTAATCCGCTCGTATTGGGAAAAAAAAAATTTGTAAATGCATTGAAAACCAATTAATCTGTGCCGGAGGTCAGAAAAAAGTAAAAAAAAAAAAAAAAAAGTATTTTATCTGTTAAACTCTTTATAAAGTGCAGATTAAAAAGGCATAAATACTGTACAGGGACATGATTAAAAATGAATTCATAAATGCATTGAAAAACCAATTAATCCGCTCGTATTGGGAAAAAAAAATAATTTGTAAATGCATTGAAAACCTATTAATCTGTTCCGGAGGTCAGAAAACAGTCAAAACGTTTATCTGTTCAAAACGCTTTATAAAATGCACTTTAAAGGCTTAAATACTGTACAGGGACATGATTAAAAATTAATTTGTAAATCAATTAATCAATTCCGGAGGTCAGAAAAAAAAGTAAAAATAAGTCTTATCTTTTCAAAACTCTTCATAAAGTGCGCATTAAAAACCGGAGGTCCGAAAAAAGTAAAAAAAAAAAAAAAAGTCTGTTCAAAACGCTATATAAAAGTGCACTTTAAAGGCATAAATACTGTACAGGGACATGATTAAAAATGAATTCATAAATGCATTGAAAACCAATTAATCCGCTCGTATTGGGAAAAAAATTTGGAAATGCATTGAAAACCAATTAATCTGTTCCGGAGGTCAGAAAACAGTCAAAACGTTTATCTGTTCAAAACGCTTTATAAAATGCACTTTAAAGGCTTAAATACTGTACAGGGACATGATTAAAAATTAATTTGTAAATCAATCAATTCCGGAGGTCAGAAAAAAAGTAAAAATAAGTCTTATCTCTTCAAAACTCTTCATAAAGTGCGCATTAAAAACCGGAGGTTCGAAAAAAGTAAAAAAAAAAAAAAAAGTCTGTTCAAAACGCTATATAAAAGTGCACTTTAAAGGCATACATACTGTACAGGGACATGATTAAAAATTAATTCATTGAAAACCAATTAATCCGCTCGTATTGGGAAAAAAAAAATTTGTAAATGCATTGAAAACCAATTAATCTGTGCCGGAGGTCAGAAAAAAGTAAAAAAAAAAAAAAAAAAAAAAAGTATTTTATCTGTTAAACTCTTTATAAAGTGCAGATTAAAAAGGCATAAATACTGTACAGGGACATGATTAAAAATGAATTCATAAATGCATTGAAAAACCAATTAATCTGCTCGTATTGGGAAAAAAAAAAATTTGTAAATGCATTGAAAACCTATTAATCTGTTCCGGAGCTCAGAAAACAGTCAAAACGTTTATCTGTTCAAAATGCTTTATAAAATGCACTTTAAAGGCTTAAATACTGTACAGGGACATGATTAAAAATTAATTTGTAAATCATCAATCAATTCCGGAGGTCAGAAAAAAAAGTAAAAATAAGTCTTATCTCTTCAAAACTCTTCATAAAGTGCGCATTAAAAACCGGAGGTCCGAAAAAAAGTAAAAAAAAAAAAAAAAGTCTTCAAAACGCTATATAAAAGTGCACTTTAAAGGCATACATACTGTACAGGGGACATGATTAAAAATGAATTCATTGAAAACCAATTAATCCGCTCGTATTGGGAAAAAAAAAATTTGTAAATGCATTGAAAACCAATTAATCTGTGCCGGAGGTCAGAAAAAAGTAAAAAAAAAAAAAAAAAAAAAAGTATTTTATCTGTTAAACTCTTTATAAAGTGCAGATTAAAAAGGCATAAATACTGTACAGGGACATGATTAAAAATGAATTCATAAATGCATTGAAAAACCAATTAATCCGCTCGTATTGGGAAAAAAAAAAAAAATTTGGAAATGCATTGAAAACCAATTAATCTGTTCCGGAGGTCAGAAAACAGTCAAAACTTTTATCTGTTCAAAATGCTTTATAAAAATGCACTTTAAAGGCTTAAATACTGTACAGGGACATGATTAAAAATTAATTTGTAAATCAATCAATCCGGGGGGGGGGGGAGGTCAGAAAAAAACGGTAAAAATAAGTCTTATCTCTTCAAAACTCTTCATAAAGTGCGCATTAAAAAACCGGAGGTCCGAAAAAAGTTGAAAAAAAAAAAAAAAGTCTGTTCAAAAGCTGGGGGACATACAAAGAGTGCACTTTAAAGGCATACATACTGTACAGGGACGTGATTAAAAATTAAAATTGTGAAGGCATTGAAAACCAATTAATCCGTTCATATTGCGAAGAAAATTTGTAAATGCATTGAAAACCAATTAATCCGTTCCGGAGTGTCAGAAAAAAGTTAAAAAAAAAAAAAAAAAAAAGAGTTTTATCAGTTAAACTCTTTGTAAAGTGCACATAAAAAAGGCTTAAATACTGTACAGGGACATGATTAAAAATTAATTTGTAAATGCATTGAAAACCAGTTAATCTGTTCGTATTGCGAAGAAAAATTCGTAAATGCATTGAAAACCAATTAATCTGTGCCGGAGGTCAGAAAAAAGGTTAAAAAAAAAATATATATATATATTTTATCTGTTAAACTCTTTATAAAGTGCACATTTAAAAAGGCATAAATACTGTGCAGGGACATGATTAAAAATTAATTTGTAAATGCATTAAAAACCAATTAATCCGGGGGGGGGGGGGGGGGGGGGGGGGTGCTAGAAAAGGTGATACGGTAGAGGGGAAAGGGATTTGCACTAGTAGGGATGATTGGGAGGTACTTTGTGCTAGGAGGGGAAATTTGAGGGGGATTCATGCTAGAATTGGGGGGTTGAGGAGGGAATTTGGAGTGGGGGTAGAGGATTTGTTCTAGGAAGAGCTGGGGACAACAAAGATTTGTGCTGGGGGGGGGGGGGGGGGGTTTCAGCAGCGGGGGTAGTTTTGTACTGGGAGGGGATTTAAGTCTAAATGTTTTTTTTTTGGGGGGGGGTATAGATTTTTTTGCTGACACATAATGCTGATACATCTTGCGGGGGGGGCACAGTTTGCCATGTTTGTCATGGGCTGTAGATGATGTTGTCCCGGCACTGGTGTTTGGCGGAGAGACCGCTGCTTACAGAGGAATGATCCTTCTTTGCAGCATGCTGGCAGGGCTCAGACTTTTCTTCTCCTGTTGTGGCTGATTTATAAAGAAAGGCAACTGTACATCTCACCACACGAGGTACAATGTCCATTTATATCTACCAACAATTATGTAGTGCAAGGACCTGCCTGATTGGCTACAAATTGATTAGGTAGGCCCTCCCTCTTACATAGTTTTCAGAAATCTTATGTTGAATGTAAGACAATTGTATGGTAAGATTATGATGTGTTTGGTATGGTGAGGCCAGGGGTTCTGCATCCTCCTAGAGCAGAAAGACAACTCCTCCTACAAGTTTTAAATAGTGCTCAGCTGAACACTGATAGAAGTCACAAGACTGCTACATACTGCTGATGAAAAAAAAAAAAAAAAAAAGGTATTTAGCAATTTATATTTACTAAAATAATTGCATTTCCATGTTCTGAGTACTGTGGGAGATCAGATATAGTGAATGCGGGGTCCGGGGAGAGCGGATATAGTGAATGCAGGGTCCGGGGAGAGCAGATATAGTGAATACGGGGTCCGGGGAGAGCGGATATAGTGAATGCGGGGGTCCGGGGAGAGCGGATATAGTGAATGCGGGGTCCGGGGAGAGCGGATATAGTGAATGCGGGGTCCGGGGAGAGCGGATATAGTGAATGCGGGGTCCGGGGAGAGCGGATATAGTGAATGCGGGGTCCGGGGAGAGCGGATATAGTGAATGCGGGGTCCGGGGAGAGCGGATATAGTGAATGCAGGGTTCGGGGAGAGCAGGTATAGGGAAAGCGGGGTTTGGGAGAGCGGATATAGTGAATGCGGGGTTCGGGGAGAGCAGGTATAGGGAAAGCGGGGTTCGGGGAGAGCGGATATAGTGAATGCGGGGTCCGGGGAGAGCGGATATAGTGAATGCGGGGGTCCGGGGAGAGCGGATATAGTGAATGCGGGGTCCGGGGAGAGCGGATATAGTGAATGCAGGGTCCGGGGAGAGCAGATATAGTGAATGCGGGGTTCGGGGAGAGCGGGTATCTAGGGATGCGGGGTTCGGAGAGAGTGGATATAGTGAATGCGGGGTCCGGGAGAGCAAATATAGTGAGTGCGGGGTCCGGGGGGAGCGGATCTAGTGAATGCGGGGTCCGGGGGGAGCGGATCTAGTGAGTGCGGGGTCCGGGGGGCGGCGGATCTAGTGAGTGCGGGGTCCAGGGGGGAGCGGATCTAGTGAATGCGGGGTCCAAGAGAGCAAATATAGTGAGTGCGGGGTCCGGGGGGAGCGGATCTAGTGAGTGCGGGGTCCGGGGGGAGCGGATCTAGTGAGTGCGGGGTTCGGGGGGAGCGGATCTAGTGAGTGTGGGGTCCAGGGGAGCAAATATAGGGAATGCGGGGTCCGGGGAGAGCGGACCTAGTGAGTGCGGGGTCTGCGGAGAGCGGAGCGGAGTCCGGGGAGGGGAGAGCGGATGTAGTGAATGCCGGGTTTGGGGTTTAATAACACTTTTCTAAAACATTTGCTGGTGAATTCTTTTCTGTAATAGATTGATTCCTATGGTCTCTAGCTCCATCTACTGCCCAAAATGCAGTATGGTTTTCTAAAATACCTCAATCAGAAAATACAGGGGTTAGACCAAAAATAAAATGGAAACACTCCATGATTTCCAGGTGTGAAAGTGACAACGTATTTGGTGGTGAAAGTGGAAGTGAAAAACATTCTTTGGCTTCCGCTGTGTGTGATGAGACACCTAGCTAACAGGCACGAAGCCTCACTTTCCTCATTCCCTGCATGCGCTGCTCGTATGACAGAGTCATGTCAGAGCTTACGAAGCTTCAACGAGGGGAAGTTGTTGGTGCTGCTCAGCTGGTGCCTCTGTGAGACTGAAGTTGCCAATTTATTTGCCGTGTCGCGAGGGTCAGTATCAAAAGGTTATGGTGGCGTATACAGTTTCCGGGAAAACATCATCTGATAAGGAGAAGCGCGGTCCACATGGTCACCTGACCGAAGGAAACAAAAAAGGACATTGCACAGGATTGGGATCTGGAATAGGAAAACAAGAGTGACTGCAGAGCTCAATCCTGTCCTGAGAAGACTGAGATTGAGCTCTGCAGTCACTTTTGCAGTTGTTTTCATATATGGATACATTGTATAATATACAATGTACCCATCTATATACAATGTACCCATCTATATACAATATATATACAATGTACCCATTTATATACAATGTAGCCATTGATATAAAATGTATCTGTTGGTGTATATAGAGGGGTAAATTATACTCTGATGGATACATTGTATATACATTCACCGGCCACTTTATTAGGTCCACCTGTTCAAATGCTTGGTAGCACAAATTGCTAATCAGCCAATCACATGGCAGCAACTCAACGCATTTAGGCATCTAGACGTGGTGAAGACAACTTGCTGAAGTTCAACCCGAGCATCAGAATGGCGAAGAAAGGGGATTTAAGTGACTTTGAAAATGGCATGATTGTTGGTGCCGGACGGGCTGGTCTACTGCGATTTCCATGCACAGCCGTCTCTAGGTAAATCAAGACTCATCAGGCCAAGTAATTATCACCTTTTGTACCACCTCCCCCTTTCTTTAGATTGTAAGCTCCATGAGCCAGGCCCTCCTATTCCATCTGTACTGAAATGTATTGTAATTGTACTGTCTCCCTTTATATTGTAAAGCGCTGAGCAAACTGTTGGCGCCATAAATCCTGTATAATAATTGAACAGGAGTACCTAATAAAGTGGCCAGTGAGTGTAGATGGATATATTGCACATACCTGGGTGTATTGTATATATAGATGGATGCAAGATACAATGTATCCATCTGTGTGCAATATATCCATCTATATACAATGTATCCATCTGTGTGCAATATATCCATCTATATACAATGTATCCATCTGTGTGCAATATATCCATCTATATACAATGTATCCATCTGTGTGCAATATATCCATCTATATACAATGTATCAATGTGCAATATATCATCTATATACAATGTATCCATCTGTGTACAATATATCCATCTATATACCCCGATGGATACATTTTACATAGATGGATAGATTATATAGAGATAAATATATTGCACACAGATGGGTACATTATACATTGTTTGTGTGTAAAAAATAAATAAATAAAAGGAAGACTTTATAATCCGAGTCTAGCATGAAGTCAAATGAAAAGTAATTGATCTGGTCAGGTAAGTAGCGAGGGGGTAAGTAATCAGTTTTAGCTGGTTTGGTGTTAATGAAATCAACAACAGGTGCACTAGATGGGCAACAATGAGACGACCCCCAAAACAGGAATGGTTTTACAGGTGGTGCCACGGATATTTTTTTCCCTACTCATGTTTTCTGACTGTTTTTCACTAGTTTTGCATTTGGCTAGGGTCAGTGTCACTACTGGTAGCATGAGGCCATACCTGGACCCTACAGAGGTCGCACAAGCAGTCCAGCTCCTAGAGCATGGAACATCAATATGTACCATTGCCAGAAGGTTTGCTGTGTCTCCCAGCACAGACTCAAGAGCACGGAGGAGATTCCAGGGAGACAACAGCACAGAGGAGATTCCAGGAGACAAGAGCACGGAGGAGATTCCAGGAGACAAGCACGGAGGAGATTCCAGGAGACGAGAGAGGCACGGAGGAGATTCCAGGAGACGAGAGCACGGAGGAGATTCCAGGAGACGAGAGCACGAGGAGATTCAGGAGACGGGAGCACGAGATTCCAGGAGACAGGGAGAGCACGGAGGAGATTCCAGGAGACGGGAGCACGGAGGAGATTCCAGGAGACAAGAGCACGGAGGAGATTCCAGGAGACAAGAGCACGGAGGAGATTCCAGGAGACAGGCAGTTCCTCTAGGAGGATCGTGGACAGGGCTGTAGAAGGTCCTTAACCCATCAGCAGGACCGGTATCTGCTCCTTTGTACAAGGAGGAACAGGATGAGCCCTGCCAGAGCCCTACAAAATGACCTCCAGCAGGCCACTGGTGTGAATATCTCTGACCAAACAATCAGAAACAGACTTCATGAGGGTGGCCTGAGGGCCCGACGTCCTCTAGTGGGCCCCGTGCTCACTGCCCAGCACTATAAAGCTGGATGGGCATTTGCCATTGAACACCCAGAATTGGCAGGTCCACCACTGGCGCCCTGTGCTTTTCACAGATGAGAGCAGGTTCACCCTGAGCACATGTGACAGACGTGAAAGGGTCTGGAGAAGCCGTGGAGAACGTTATGCTGTCTGTAACATGGTCAGCATGACCGATTTTGTGGTGGGTCAGTGATGGTCTGGGGAGGTATATCCATGGAGGGACACACAGACCTCTACAGGATAGACAATGGCACCCTGACTGCCATTAGGTATGGGGATGAAATCCTTGGACCCATTGTCAGACCCTACGCTGGTGCAGTGAGTTCCTCCTGGTGCAGTGGGTCCTGGCTTTCTCCTGGTACATGACAATGCCCGGCCTCATGTGGGGAGAGTATGCAGGCAGTTCCTGGAGGATGAAGGAATTGATACCATTGAATGGCCCCCACACTCGCCTGACCTAAATACAATAGACCACCTCTGGGATATCATGTTTCGGTCCATCTGATGCCACCAGGTTGCTCCTCAGACTGTCCAGGAGCTCAGTGACGCCCTGGTCCAGATCTGGAAGGAAATCCCCCAGGACACAATCCGTGGTCTCATTAGGACCCTCTCCCGACATTGTCAGGCATGCATACAAGCACATGGGGGCCACACAGACTACTGAGGACCATTCTGAGTTGCTGCAATGACATTTCACCAACATGGACTCACCTGCTGCATCATTTCTTCACTTTGATTTTCGGGGTGTCTTTGAATTCAGTCCTCTGTAGGTCGATCATTTCCATCAAATGATGGGGCGTCCTTACGTTCCTCACCCATCCCCCGTCCATGTCAGTATAGAGATCCCCATTGAGATCTGATGGGTTTTCAAAGTCTTCCTTTCATTTTTTTTTTTTTGAGGGGGGAGGGGTGTACACACACACACACACACTTACTAAAGGCAAATAGACTGCGCACTTTGCAAGTGCAGTTGCTCCAGAGTAAATGAAGTGAAGCTTCACTTTGCAAAGAATACCCAATCACGTACTAGGAAAATATAAAAAACAGCATTTTTTCTTGCACATGAAACAGCAGTAGAGCTTTCCCTTGTTGCAGAGCTTCCCCCCAGATCTATAGCAACATCACTTGCAGTGCACAATGTATTGGCCTTTTGTAAACCTTTCCCCTGTATATAGATGGACACTAGTCTATGCCAAACATCTCATACTTGGTCCAACCAGTGTGACATGGAACTCTGATTAGTGATACTTACTCCTGACCCCTGCACTCTACAATGACATACTCCTGACCCCTACAAATGGCATACCCCTGACCCCTGCACTCTACAATGGCATACTCCTGACCCCTGCCCCTACAATGGCATACCCCTGACCCCTGCCCCTACAATGGCATACTCCTGCACTCTACAATGACAGACTCCTGACCCCTGCACTCTACAATGACATACTCCTGCACTCTACAATGACAGACTCCTGACCCCTGCCCCTACAATGGCATACCCCTGACCCCTGCCCCTACAATGGCATACCCCTGACCCCTGCACTCTACAATGGCATACTCCTGACCCCTGCACTCTACAATGACATACTCCTGACCCCTACAAATGGCATACTCCTGACCCCTGCACTCTACAATGGCATACTCCTGACCCCTGCCCCTACAATGGCATATCCCTGACCCCTGCCCCTACAATGGCATACTCCTGCACTCTACAATGACAGACTCCTGACCCCTGCACTCTACAATGACATACTCCTGCACTCTACAATGACAGACTCCTGACCCCTGCCCCTACAATGGCATACCCCTGACCCCTGCCCCTACAATGGCATACCCCTGACCCCTGCACTCTACAATGGCATACTCCTGACCCCTGCCCCTACAATGGCATACCCCTGACCCCTGCCCCTACAATGGCATACTCCTGCACTCTACAATGACAGACTCCTGACCCCTGCACTCTACAATGACATACTCCTGCACTCTACAATGACAGACTCCTGACCCCTGCCCCTACAATGGCATACCCCTGCCCCCTACAATGACATACTCCTGCACTCTACAATGACAGACTCCTGACCCCTGCACTTTGTACATGTGGTGTTTGTTGTATTTTAGACCATCCTGACAGCTGTACTCAGGGCTGCCAATAGCTACAGGTAAGCCCTCCTGCACTGGGCCTGGACCCCCGCTGCCGACCCAATGGAGCCCACGTCCAGTGGGCTGCTCAGATTCCTGCATCTCCCCATTCTTCCCCCTCTCTCTGCTCCTCATCCCTACTAACATCCCCAGCACCCGAAGTGCGAAGGCGTGTCCAGACGGCACTCGTAGTTGCTGAAGTTGTGCTCATGTGCCCCAACATCCGCTTTAGAAGAGGCCCCCTATTAAGCTGTAATAGGGGTTGCCGGGGTGCAGAGTGAGGTGTAATAGGGGTTACCGGGGGTGCAGAGTGAAAGTGTAATAGGGGTTACCGAGGTGCAGAGTGAAGTGTAATAGGGGTTACCGAGGTGCAGAGTGAAGTGTAATAGGGGTTACCGGGTTAGGTGCAGAGTGAAGTGTAATAGGGGTTACTGAGGTGCAGAGTGAAGTGTAATAGGGGTTACCGAGGTGCAGAGTGAAGTGTAATAGGGGTTACCGAGGTTGCAGAAGTGAGTGTAATAGGGGTTGCTGGGGTGCAGAGTGAAGTGTAATAGGGGTTGCTGGGGTGCAGAGTGAGGTGTAATAGGGGTTGCTGGGGTGCAGAGTGAGGTGTAATAGGGGTTACCCCGGGGGATGCAGAGTGAGGTGTAATAGGGGTTGCTGGGGTGCAGAGTGAGGTGTAATAGGGGTTGCCGGGGTGCAGAGTGAGGTGTAATAGGGGTTGCCAGGGGTGCAGAGTGAGCTGTAATAGGGGTTACTGGGGTGCAGAGTGAGGTGTAATAATAGGGGTTGCCAGGGGTGCAGAATGGAGCTGTAATAGGGGTTACTGGGGTGCAGAGTGAGGTGTAATAGGGGTTACAATGGGGGTGCAGAGTGAGGTGTAATAGGGGTTGCCAGGGGATATCAAACAGAATGAGCTGTAGATAGGGGATTACCGGGGTGCAGAGTGAGGTGTAATAGGGGTTACAGAGGGTTCCTGGGTGCAGAAGTGAGTGTAATAGGGGTTACTGGGGTTGCAGAGTGAGGTGAAATAGGGGTTACCGGGGTGCAGAGTGAGGTGTAATAGGGGTTACCGGGGTGCAGAGTGAGGAGTGTAATAGGGGTTACTGGGGTGCAGAGTGAGGTGTAATAGGGGTTACTGGGGGTGCAGAGTGAGGTGTAATAGGGGTTGCCAGGGGGTGCAGAATGAGAGCTGTAAGAGGGGTTACCAGGGGTGCAGAGTGAGGTGTAATAGGGGTTACCGGGGTGCAGAGTGAGTGTAATAGGGGTTCCTTGCCAGGGGTGCAGAAATGAATGAGCTGTAATAGGGGTTACTGGGGTGCAGAGTGAGAGGTGTAATAGGGGTTACTGGGGTGCAGAGTGAGCTGTAATAGGGGTTACCGGGGTGCAGAGTGAGGTGTAATAGGGGTTACTGGGGTGCAGAGTGAGGTGAAGTGTAATAGGGGTTACTGGGGTGCAGAGTGAGGTGTAATAGGGGTTACCGGGGTGCAGAGAGGTGTAAATAGGGGTTACCGGGGTGCAGAGTTTTAGTGAGGTGTAAATAGGGGTTACTGGGTGCAGAGGAGTTAGAGGGGTGTAATAGGGGTTACTGGGGTGCAGAGTGAGGTGTAATAGGGGTTACCGGGGTGCAGAGTGAGGTGTAATAGGGGTTACCGGGGTGCAGAGTGAGTGTAAATAGGGGGATTACTGGGGTGCAGAGTGAGGTGTAATAGGGGTTACTGGGGTGCAGAGTGAGGTGTTAAATAGGGGTTACCGGGGTGCAGAGTGTGGGGTGCATTGGGATAGTGAGGTGTAATGTGGGATGCAGGAGTTTCAGAATGTGGGATAGTGAAGGATTCAGGGGGCACAGAGTAAGGTAAATTGTAGGATTCAGGGGGTGCAGAACATGGGACTTGTAGAATTTAGGGGGTGCTGAGTGAGGTGTAAAGTGGGTACAGAGAGAGTAATGCAGAATTTGGGGTGCAGAGTGAGGTGTACAGAGAGAGTAGTGCAGAAAGTTAGGGTGCAGAGAGAGTAAGTGGGGAATGTTGGGGTGCAGAGTGAGGTGTACAGAGTAGTGGGGAATGTTGGGGTGTTGCAGAGTGAGGTGTACAGATAGAGAGTGCAGAATGTTGGGGTGCAGAGTGAAGGCTGTAGAGAGAGTAGTGCAGAATGTTGGGGTGCAGAGTGAGGTGTACAGAGTAGTGCAGAAAGTTAGGGTGCAGAGAGAGTAGTGCAGAATGTTGGGGTGCAGAGTGAGGTGTACAGAGAGAGAGTAGTGCAGAATGTTGGGGTGCAGAGTGAGGTGTACAGAGAGAGTAGTGCAGTAATGTTGGGGTGCAGCAGTGAGGTGTACAGAGTAGTGGGGATTGTTGGGGTGCAGAGTGAGGTGTACAGAGTAGAGTAGTGGAATGTTGGGGTGCAGAGTGAGGTGTACAGAGAGAGTAGTGCAGAATGTTGGGGTGCAGAGTGAGGTGTACAGAGAGAGTAGTGGGGATTGTTGGGGTGCAGAGTGAGGTGTACAGAGTAGTGGGGAATGTTGGGGTGCAGAGTGAGGTGTACAGAGAGAGTAGTGGGGAATGTTGGGGTGCAGAGTGAGGTGTACAGAGTAGTGGGGAATGTTGGGGTGCAGAGTGAGGTGTACAGAGTAGTGGGGAATGTTGGGGTGCAGAGTGAGGTGTACAGAGTAGTGGGGAATGTTGGGGTGCAGAGTGAGGTGTACAGAGAGAGTAGTGCAGAATGTTAGGGTGCAGAGTGAGGTGTACAGAGAGAGTAGTGGGGATTGTTGGGGTGCAGAGTGATGTAAAATAGGGGATGCAGGGCCTGCAAAGTGGGGTGTAATGGGGGGGGGGGTGCGGGGCGGTACACAATGAGGTGTAATGGGGGGTGCAGGATGTGGGGTGGTGCAAGTGGGGGATGCAAGTGGGAGGAGCCCATCATTCAGGCTGTATGCAGTCCTGTGGATTCTATTGGTGGCCCTGTCTGCATTCTATCCAATCATAACAATACTGAGGGGGAAAAAAAAAAAAAAAACTTGGTTACTGTTGGAAACGCTTTGAACACTGAGGACACGCCCTCTTGTTTCGTAAGCACGGCCTTTTGGTCAAGAACATTAACTAGCTAGGAGCCCGCCCCCGATACCTCCCGGACGTAGGGCAGCGTTTTGTATCTCAGATGTATGTACGTCCACCCCCTCCATCTCCCGGAAGTGGGGGCAAGGCAGCCTCCCTGATACATGCCGGAAGTGGGGAAACGTCCAAAACGTCCTTTCACTCCCTCTTCCGGAAGTGGGGCAGCGTATTAACCCCGAAACACGCCGGAAGTAGGGTCGTGCAGGTCAGCCCTGTCCTGGAAGTTTCTCCGTGTCCTGACCGAGGGGCTACCATGGAGGTGTCGGTGTTCTCGGACACTGTCGGTCAGGAGATCCGGTTGGAGCGGCGCTCGTACAGCGATACGTGCCGGGAGTTCACCGTGGTGAGGCCGAAGCTGTCAGTCCGGTGTGTGGCGGGCTGGACGTGCTGTGTGTGGCTGACCGCCTACCTGCTCTTCCTGTACACGGAGCTCCCCGCCGTCCTGTCCGCCGCCATCCTCCTCTCCGTGTTCGGCCTCCTCGTCCACCTTCACCTGTTCCGGGTGGATTCGGAGAGCCTGCTGGTTCTGGGCTCTCTGGGCCTCCAGCGGAGTTCGGTGTTCGCCTCGGGGAGGGAGAGTTCGGAGTTCCTGGAGATGTGGCGGCTCCGGGATCTCGTCATCACCGAGAACATCACCAGCTGTGCCGTCCACTACGTCCTGTGTGTGCTGACCGGGGACCACCACCTCATCCCTGTGTTCGGGGGGGCCGCAACCCCGCCTGGAGTGCCTGCGGGAGATCTACCAGAGCGTGCAGGAAGTGCTGGGCGCCGACCGCCAACACACTGACTGAACGCCAGAACATGTCTCCACGGTGACCGCCAACATGGCGACCCTGAAGTCCCATATCTCCATGGTGACCGCCAACATGGCCGTCCCCGATGTAATCCGATATCTCCCTGGGGACCGCCAACATGGCCAACCCTGATCTAATCCGATATCTCCATGGCGACCGCCAACATGGCCAACCCTGATCTAATCCGATTTTTCCATGGCGACCGCCAACATGGCTAACCCCGATGTCTAATCCGATATCTCCATGGCGACCGCCAACATGGCCAACCCTGATCTAATCCGATATCTCCATGGCGACCGCCAACATGGCCAACCCTGATCTAATCCGATATCTCCATGGCGACCGCCAACATGGCCAACCCTGATCTAATCCGATTTCTCCATGGCGACCGCCAACATGGCCAATGCCTGATGTAATCCGATTTCTCCATGGCGACCGCCAACATGGCCAACCCTGATGTAATCCGATTTCTCCATGGCGACCGCCAACAAGGCCGTCCTGATGTAATCCAATATCTCCATGGCAACCACCAACATGGCCGTCCTCGATGTAATCCGATATCTCCATGGCGACCGTTAACATGGCCAACCCTGATGTAATCAGATATCTCCACGTTGACCGCCAACAAGGCCGTCCTTGACGTCATCCAATAACTCCATGGCAACCCCAACATGGTGACCAACCCTGATGTTTTCTGATATCTCCACAGTGACCACCAACATGGCCGCCTCTGACGTCATCTTGTATCTCCACAGTAACCAAAAATATGGCAACAGGCGTCTCTACGGGTGACCAACATCATTCCTGCCTCTGAAGTCCGATATCTCCTTGGTGACCCCCAGTAAAATGGCCACAGACGTCTCCACAGTAACCACAAAGGTCTCCACGGTTACCACCAACATGGCCACCTGTCATCAGATATCTCCATGGTGATGCCAACATGGTTGCAGACATCTCCACAGTAACCAAAAAAATAAGGCCACAGATGTCTCCATGGTAATCAAAAGTATGGCCACAAACTGCTCCACGGTGACCACCATCTTGGGTACCTCTTATGTCATCAGATATCTCCACATTGACTGCCAACATGGCTACAGACATCTCCACGTAACCAAAAATATGGCCACAGACTCACGGTAACCACAAGCATCTCCACGTCGCCCACCAACATGGCCTCTGATGTCTCCATGGTGGACTGCCAAAATGGCTACAGACATCCCCACAGAAACCACAAAGATGGCCATAGATGTCTCCACGGTGACATCACCTAGAAGTCTGATGTCCGATGTCTCCACGGTAACCACCAACCTAGCCAGATATCTCCACGGTAACCGCAAACATGGTCACCTGTGATGTCCACAGAGGTTTCCATGGGGACCACATGTGAGGTCATCACTGCTGGCACTAAAGATCACAGAGGGGAAGCGGATCGCACTGCTGCATACTAGTAGACTCCATCAATAGAGACGTTCGTCCCACGTCCAGGATAGGGACCGATCGCTGCCAGAGCTCTTCTAGAAATCATTTATGTCTAAGAACTTTCTAGAAGATGTGACCGTTGTGAGAGAGGAGTATATATATAATATGCTGGCCCAGCTCCTTCCCCCACTCCTTGGAAGGTCTAATTACTATCTGTGCTGGCCCAGGCTTCTCCCTACTCCTAGGAGGGTCTAATTATTATTGATGCTGGCCCAGCTCCCCCTACTCTGGGAAGGTCTAATTTACTGTATATGGCTGGCCCAGCTCCTCTAAACACTCGGGTGAGTGTGTTTACTCTATAATGCTGGCCCAGCTCCCCCCTACTCCTGGGAAGGTCTAATTGCTGTATATGCTGGCCCAGCTCCTCCCTACTTCTGAGAAGGTCTAATTACTGTATATGCTGGCCCAGCTCCTCTCTACTCGGGGAGTGTTTACTCTATATGCTGGCCCAGCTCCCCCCCACTACTCCTGGGAAGGTCTAATTACTGTATATGCTGGCCCAGCTCCTCCCTACTTCTGAGAAGGTCTAATTACTGTATATGCTGGCCCAGCTCCTCTCTACTCGGGGAGTGTTTACTCTATATGCTGGCCCAGCTCCCCCCTACTCCTGGGAAGGTCTAATTACTGTATGTGCTGGCCCAGCTCGCCCCTTACTCTTGGGAAGGTCTAATTACTGTATGTGCTGGCCCAGCTCCTCCCTACTCCTGGGAGGGTTTAATTACTGTATGTGCTGGCCCAGCTCCCCCCCACTCCTTGTAGGGTTTAATTACTGTATGTGCTGGCCCAGCTCCCCCCTACTCCTGGGAAGGTCTAATTACTGTATGTGCTGGCCCAGCTCCTCCCTACTCCTGGGAAGGTCTAATTACTGTATGTGCTGGCCCAGCTCCTCCCTACTCCTGGGAAGGTCTAATTACTGTATGTGCTGGCCCAGCTCCTCCCCACTCTTGGGAGAGTCTAATAAACTGTCCGTGCTGGTCTAGCCCCTTTCCTGAGAGTGTCTCATGACTCTTCTGGCCCAGCTCCTCCAACCCTGCCTGGGAGGACCCAATTACTGTCTGTGCCAACCAAACTCTTCTACCCTTCCCACATATAATAGCCCTCTCTATACTAGAAATGTCTTTGCTGTGCTGACCAGGCTCCTCCGACCCTCTCCTAGGAATGTCTAATTACAGGCTGTGCTGGCCCAGCTACTCTGATCTCTCCTCCCGGGCCTGGCCATCAATTTTATTTAAAAAAGACCAAAAAAAAAAAAGACATTTTATCAATCCTTACAAAATCCATGTATACTTCTATTCTGCCAGTAGATGGCGGTGATGTATCACTAGATCCATGCAGCTTTCAGAACATCTATTGGCTGCATTCAGCTCCCGCCGTGTAAACATTCAAAATTTTCCGTAATTGGATGTATCTGAATTTCCAAAATACAATATTATCACAGGTACATATATATATATAGCACGTCAATTGACACATTCACATCAGTCCCCGCCCCCGAGGAGCGTACGATCCGAGGTCACCTGTGAATAGTAACATTTACGTCGTTTGTCGCCGGTGTGCGCAATTTTATAGGTGCGACATGTTTGGTATCTATTTACTCGGCATAACGTCATCGTTTAGAATATACAAAAAGAAAATGGGTTATGTATTGTATTTTTTTTTTTTTTTTTTTTTTGGAAATACATTTTTTTTTTAAGTTATTTGTTTTCCTAAAAATTGCGTTTGAAAAAACCGTCGCGCAAATACAGTTTGACTTTAAAAAAAAAAAAAAAGTAAAAACCACTAATTCTCTTTAAAAAAAGAAAAACATAATGCTTGGGGGGGGGGGGGGGGGGGGGGGGGGGAATCGCCGAGTAATCGCCGAGTATCACTGATGGTCTGTATGTAAAAAAAAAAAAAAACAGATCTCTCCCCTGTTAGCAAGGACATGCTGCTTTGCATATCTCTGCCCTACCTGTGTTGCCATTGGTTGCAGCAGATGTCAATCACCAGGTCCTGGCTGCTCTTTATTTAGAGCAGTTGTTTCTCAACTCCAGTCCGCATGGATCCCCAACAGGTCATGTTTTCAGGATTTCCATTATTTTGCACAGGTAATTTGATCAGTTTCACTGCCTTAGTAATTACCACAGCTGTTTCATCTGAGGGAAATCCTGAAAACATGACCTGTTGGGGTCCATGAGGACTGGAGTTGAGAAACACTGCTTTAGAGCAACAATTCTTTGTTTTCAGATCCTCAGTTCTTTGCCATGAGGTTGCCATGCTGAACTTCCAGTGACCAGTATGAGAGAGTGAGAGCGATGACACCGAATGTAACCCACCCCGCTCCCCATTCACACCTGAGACCTTGTAACACTAACGAGTCACATGACACCGGGGAGGAAAAATGGCTAATTGGGCCCAATTTGGACCTTGTCACTAAAGGGGTGGAGTCACGTTTGAGAGACGCACTCTCTCAGTAAGCCCGGGTTAACACCAATGCGGTGCGGGAAACTCTGCGAATCCTGTGCGTTTCCCGCACCGCTTTTGCAATCTTTCATTACGTTCATGCGATCTGGTGCGTTGGTGTGTCAATATTAAATGAATGACACCCTGAATCAGATTGCAAATCGCATCAGTGAGACCGCCCACGCGATGCGATCCACGTGCGGATTCAAAAAGAGCCCTGCACAATCGCATCACAGAGACATTTGTATGTAATTCGCACAGGAACGCAGTGCGATTTCTGTGCGAATTACATGTGTCCTGCACCACATGGCGTGAACCGGCCAATCCATACCTACAAAAAAAACAAAACAAATAAAGTTGTGTGATAAAAAAAAAAAAAAAAAACTATTGAACGCATGAAGAAAAGGGAGGTGCCAAAAGGCAAAGTCAAGACACCAGCTGAAATCTATCAGTGATTAGAAAGCAATCCTTAATAACCGCTGGTTCAGTCTCAACTGAGGGCCAATAAAAAAAAAAAAAAAAAAAAGCGTCTCATTACCAAGGTGTCACACAAGAAACATCTCATGATGGGTTAAAAGCAAAGATCTCTGTCAAGACCTTCACAACCTTATTGTTGCAAAACATACCGATAGCATTGGTTACAGGAGGATTTCTAACTTCTGAATGTTCCAGTGAGTACTGTTGGGGCCATAATCCGGAAGTGGAATGAACATCATTTCACCATAAACTGGTAGGTTCTCCTTGCAAGATTTCTGACGGGTGAAAAGAATTACCAGAAGAGTTGCTCAAGAGCCAGGGATCACTTGTGTGACTTGGAATTAGCAGGTACAATGGTTGTCAAAGAAAACAATAATGCACTCAGGGCGCCGTGGCCTGTACTACACACGTCATCACGCAAGAAAAAACTCGTTTATAGTTTGCTGCACAACATTTAGACAAGCCTGTGACATACTGGAAGAATACCGTCTGGTCAGACGAGACAAAATTGAACTCTTTTGGATGTCATAATACAAGCCATGTTTAGAGGTCACGTGGCACTGCACGTCACTTCAAAAGCACCATCCCAACTGTGAAGCGTGGCGTGGTGGGAACATCATGGTG